AGAAAAGAAGAGAAAGGCTGAACCGGCAATGCAGAGACATTTAAAAAAGTCTCGTGATGTTGTGTCTGATGCTGGTGAAAAAAGGGAGGACCAAGAAAGGGTGCCGAGGGAACGAGAAAGTTCGGCAATAGACAAGGATTGCATCAAGAGATGGGTTAAGGAAGAAGTCTCAAACTGTCTGAAGGACTTGGTGCCTTCGATAGTTGAAAGAACGTTGAGTCAGGTCGTCCCCGAAGCCATTAATCGGGCATTTGGGGAAACTTTTAAGATATTGGATGACTACATAATTGCACGATCAGATAACACAATGCAAGGAGATGGGGAGCAGTCGGATGGCAATGAGGTAACACATTTGCACATTTTTTATTTTTTCCAGAATTAAAATTTGGTTTTTTTAAAACGAATATTTTTGGCTCCAAATATTCTTTGGCGGTTCATGAGGAGGAGAAGTCGAACAAGTCCAATGAGGATCTGGAGCAGGAGGTGGTTGGCAATGAGGTAAAATTATCACATTTGAATTTGACGTTTGTACATTATTTCCTGAATTACAATTTTGTTCGTCTAAAACTTATATTCTTTGTTCCAAAAACTCTTAGTCGGTTTAAGAGGCGGAGATGTCCGAGAAGAAGTCCAATGAGGATCCGGAGCAGGAGGTGGTTGGAAATGAGGTAAATTTTTCACATTTGCATTTGACATTTGTACATTATTTCTTGAATTACAAACTGGGTTTGTCTAAAACTTATATTCTTTGTTCCAAAAACTCTTAGTCGGTTCATGAGGAGGAGATGTCCGAGAAGAAGTCCAATGAGGATCCGGAGCAGGAGGTGGTTGGAAATGAGGTAAATTTTTCACATTTGCATTTGACGTTTGTACATTATTTCTTGAATTACAAACTGGGTTCGTCTAAAACTTATATTCTTTGTTCCAAAAACTCTTAGTCGGTTCATGAGGAGGAGATGTCCGAGAAGAAGTCCAATGAGGATCCGGAGCAGGATGTGGTTGGAAATGAGGTAAATTTTTCACATTTGCATTTGACGTTTGTACATTATTTCTTGAATTACAAACTGGGTTCGTCTAAAACTTATATTCTTTGTTCCTAAAACTCTTAGTCGGTTCGTGAGGAGGACAGGTCTGAGAAGAAGTCCCCTGAAGATGTGGAGCAGGTGGTTGGGAATGATGTAAATTTTGTTCTCCTAAAACTAATATCCTTTTGACATTTGTACATTATTTCCAGAATTAAACTTTTGTTCTCGTAAAAAGAATATTTTTGGTTCAAAAAACTTTAAGGTGGTTAATGACGGCGTTGATGTGGAGAAGAAGTCCCCTGAGTTTGTGCAGTAGTGAACACTAAGGTAACTTATTGACATGTACATGTGACAAGTTCTTTTTTGACATTTGTACATTATTTTCAGAATTAAATTTTTGTTCTCATAAATGAATATTTTGTTGTTCCAACAACTCTTAGGCGGTTGATGGGGGAAGTTCTTTGTATGGAGAAGTCTCCGGATGGTGATGGTGATGAAGTAAGTTGTTGACATTTGCATTTGACATGTTCCAGAATTAAATTTTGGTTCTCCTAAAACTAATATTTTATGTTCCAAAAACTCTTTGGCGATCGAGGAGGAGGATGATGAGGATAATGTTCCACTACAAACACGACGTGTGAGGTTCTTGAGCAAAAATGTAAGTTCACCCTTTGTGAACTTACAACAGAAGGACGAAGAGGACAAATTGAGTCGCGCCTACAACAAATGGATGCACATTAAAGATGACACTAGGCTGTAAGTGTTGATTTGTTACCTTTGCATTTTGTACAATAGTTTTTTGATGATCATTAATAATGGTTTTTTGCTTTTCTAGATTGAACGTTGGGCAGTCACCTAAGTTCTTACGTGGACGAGATTACTTCGCATATAATAAGGGCTTTCAGAAAAGTCTTTCTCAGATTGTAAGTGAATTTATATAGATGGTGTTGGTGGTGAATTTATATAGGTGGTGTTGTTGGTGATTTTGTAGGTGGTGAAAAACAAGTGACATTGTGCCCACAAAGTGTTTGCCGAAATGGGTAAGAAGAGACAATGTACACCAACTCTCGAAACCTCTCCATCTCGTGAGGACTCTCAGTCTCACGAGAACTCGGAAAGTGAGCAAAGTGAAAAAAGTAGACCCGACACCAATAAAGTGGGAGATGAGCCATTGTATTAAATTGACCCCGATCGAGAAAATATTCAAGAAGTGTATGGATGTCCGTTTCCCATATACGTTGCGGATGAAGGCGTGCACTTTCAAAATCTTGACCAATCATTCATCACAGATCCTCGAAAAATTGATTGGCAACTTTTAGAAAAGATCGGGATTGCCAAGGAAGTAAAAGAGTACCTCACCAATGTCAATCTTTTGCAATACGCGGAAATGCAATATCCGGCTTACTACCCCCTAACGCTTGAATTAATTAGCACAATGAAGATTGAAGACAAAAACAAACTACTTACATGTAGGATGATGGGAAGAGAGTGCAAGGTGACACCCAAGGTGATGAAAGATGTTTTCGGGTTCACGTCCGTGGGCACTAAGAAAAAGCCCATAGATTATCTCAAGAGGGCTCCAATGGGTTGGAAAGTGATTTCCGGGAGTGACAAATTTGCATCAAACGGGGCTCCTTTTTTTCTTGTGAAGGATATTGCTTTAGGCTTTTTCGGGAAGTTCATCGCTTATCAAGTCTCGGGGAAGGATCAAGCTACTAGATTGAACCAACATGAACTTTTTATAATGAAGTGTGCCATGGATAAAAAAAAAATTCAATGCCACCGAATTTATTTGGTCAAGCTTAGCCGAAATCTAAGCACATGAACGGTATCATCCGTCGTTTGGGACTTTTGTGACGGCATTGGCTGTGCACTTTCAAATTTTGAATCCAGCGAGGCTTAGGACACAAAAGGTCACACGGGCAAGGATTATTGACAAGGAAGAGTTGACTCGTTGTGAATTCATTGATAAGAATTTTTCTCTTATCCCCCACAAAAAGAGGCCCAAAGTCGAGCATTTGTTTAAAGAAAATACGTCGGGGACGGTGCCGAAACAAATTGGCAGGACCGAACAGGATGATGAAGAACACGTCGGGGACGGTGCCGACACAAGTTTCACACAACCGGATTGGGTGGAAAGAATTTTCAATCAATTGACATCAATTCATGCTCGGTTAGATAAAATTGATGCTCGGTTAGATAAAATTGATGCTCGTTTGGATTCATTGGCCACTACTCGATCCATGGGACCCGACGTTCCCTCTTCATCCACTCATCCACAGTGAAAGTTCTTTTGTTTCTTCTTCATTGTTTTGGACTGTAAAATGCTATGACAATTTATTGTTAGTTTTTGTTTCTTTTGATTTTTTTGATGGTTATGAAACATGTGAAACATCATCCGAGAGTGACAAATTTACTGCTAGTTTTTGTTTTGATGTTCTGATGGTTGGCTGAATGGGTACATGAACCGCGGCTCGAAGTTTTTCCGCGGTTCAATTTTTTCATTCATGCTTGAAGTTCAAATTACCATCTCACAGCCGGTTGGCATTTCAACTTCGGTTGGCCGAAAGGGTCCATCAACTGCGGCTCGAAGTTCAACCGCGGTTCAATTTTCTCATTCATGATTGAAGTTCAAATTACCATCTCACAGCCGGTTGGCATTTCAACTTCGGTTGGCCGAAAGGGTCCATCAACCGCGGCTCGAAGTTCATCCGCGGTTCAATTTTCTCATTCATGCTTGAAGTTCAAATTAACATCTCACATCCGGTTGGCATGTCAACTGCGGTTGGCCGAAAGGGTACATCAACCGCGGCTCGAAGGTCAACCGTGGCTCACANGTAATAATTTCATAAATGGATGTTTGGGGTAATGCCGGGACAAAAATATGACAAACAACACAAATAAATAAATTTATCCATACAAATCATTTATACAAATAACATTCATTTACGATCAATAAAAAACAACAAATAAATAAAAAAAATCAAAACAACTAGGAAATGTTCTGAGGACACTTGTTCCTACGATGGCCGGGTTGCTTACATTTACCACATAAACGAACTTTGGTACCGGGACGTCCAGATTGAGTTGGTTGTCCAACATTATAGACAAACGCAACACAAGTTGTACAGTAATGCCTACTTTCACGGCATCGTGTACAAAATGATTTTCTTCGAGAGCTCGAAGAAGGGCCAGTAAAGGGTATGCGGTCTGACCTCGGTCTTCCGGCTTGCTTGGGATCAAAAGGGCATTTGACAACCATCAAACTACTGGCTGTAGTTAAGTCCCAAGTATTTGGATGCGCAATTGGCATGATTATGGGCTCGTAAAGTTTACGCCATGTTGTGGTCTTGTAGTAGTCGTGCACATATCCAAACACCGATTCGTTTGCCTTCCTAACAATGGTACATGCATAGAAAACAAAAAAGAGATGTAACACAATACAACATTTTCTGATGGGTAAGATAACAATAAGTAAACATTGAGGCTTTTATTAAATAAAGAATAATAATGAAAAAATTACCCGATAGCCTTAATCGCATGTGAACAGAGCAATAAATCGACCTGAAAGAGATAACAAGTTGATGGGTCTACTTCCGGATCTGGAGTAAACCGGTTGTTGTGAGCTCAGATCTGCTTGAACCGCTTCCCAACCGTTACTAGACCGTGAGATTCCTGCAAAAACTCAACGCCGGAGGTGTTTCCGGCGTAGAGCCTCCGACGCTCAAGTCAGTATCAGAGTGATGAAGAGATGCTGCGCAGCAGCTATGGGGGAGAATGGGAATGAATGAGAGTTAGGGTTTGGGTTACCTCACCTCCTTTATATAGGAGTAGATACTTACTTGAAGTGCCCAAAATGCCCAAGTCGGTGGACCTATAAGGTCCAAAATGCCCTGGGCGATTCGTCTCCCCTTGTTGCTGAGTCATCACAAGATTCCTTCTTATCCTTTGTAATGTGTAGAGCTTCGGATATGTTGTAAGTGTAGTGAATCGTCTTCACTGCTTTGATCCTCGAGATGTACAGAGTCGACCTCGAGAGTTAAGAGGTCGACTTATGAATATGTGCGATTTTGGAGGCTACGCTTGGTTTAACTCTGTGGTGAAGTCGTCTTCAGAGAGTCGTCATAGTGGAGTCGACTAATGGAATTCGACTAAGGATACTGGGATGCCCAGGCGTTATGCTCCTGCTGTCCTTCTTCCATTGATGTCGACTAGTGAAAGTCGATAGACTAAGGTCGACTTGCGAGAGTCGACTAGACCAATTTCTGCCTCTTCTCGGTTGCTCTTGGTAGAATCGACTTTAGGGAAGTCAATTTGAGCATGTCGACAGAGTCGTGTCGACATGCGAGTTGTTCGAGTGGGTCATAGGTCGAGTAGGGAGCCTCTGGATCGGGGGTTATCCTTATGTGGCTATATCACAAGTGCAAGTCCGATCCTTCAAATTGACGACAAAATTCTTGACCCCGTCCTTCACGTGGTAAACGTAGTGATTGATATTCGAAGCATCCATTTGGTCTGCTTCGGTTTTATAATCCATTAAACGCTTAGATATTGATGGAGTAACTTCACACTCAGTGTTTTCTGCCTCGACACGTCTTTTGTGAAACCACTCTTGCATAATGTTTCGAATACATTCAAACAATGAGCAAACCGGCAATTTCCTTGCCCAACGCAACCTATTGTTCAGCACCTCACAAGCATTTGACGTCATGAAACTATATCGTCTCGCAGGACATTGACTTCGTGCCCACCTACTTGGAATAGCTTCATCAATCAACACCTTCAATGTTTTTGGATAATTTGCCGCAAGCATAGCTATCGACTTTTCGTACACAACAGGAGAATAAGTGTATGAAGCTTTCATATATAAACCAACAGCTTTACACCCGTTACTTCGAATATTTTGCCGAAGGTGGTACGAACAGATGGCATGTACGGCTTCAGGGTAGACAACCTCGATAGCAGACTTTATGCTCACGTGGTGATCAGAAACAATCACTAAATTCTCGGGACATCCAAAAGTGGAGTGAAGCTTTTGGAGAAACCACATCTACGCACTATGACATTCCACATCGTCGATACCAAATGCCAAAGGAAAAATTTGTTCAATTCCGTCCTTTGTAGCTGCTACAAATAGGATGCCTTTATACTTACCCTCCAAATGCGTACCGTCAATTACAATCACGGGCCGACAATAATTGAGGAAGCCTGCAGACGCATGCAAAGAAATGAAAGCATACTCAAACACGTCATGTTTATCGGTCTCAATGTATGCCGATGTTCCAGGATTTTCCTTCATCGACATATGGAAATAGCCCGGCAAAAGTTCCCAGGATTTTCTGTGATCTCCATAAATGAAGTCGTAGGCGGCGTTTTGAGACCTCAGAGCTGTATCGTATTTGAGCTTAATGCCCTGATCATGCTCCATGTCACCCATAATTTCTCCAGGCTTCAATACTCGGCCCTCTGTCAACAATTTCGGCGCGAATAATGCACCAATGATGTTCGCAGGCATTTGTCGAGGGGCTGAATGACTCAGGTTAACCAAGCATGTAAGTGGATGGATAAATTTAGAAATTTTCCAACTACTTCCAGTCAATGCATTGGCAGAAAGCAAGAATTGGCAGTTCTTATGCTTGCACACAAACTTTAACCGAGACTTTGATGATCTTGGCCTTCGGAACTCCACTTTATGCTTCAAATGGTATAAACCCACTTTTACCAACAATTCATCTTTACTTTCAATGACAACGCCTTTGGCTAATTTTTCACTGACTATCATTGACGGCTCTTCAGACGAGGGATGAACATCAACATTGTGAAAAATGGCTTTGGGAATCCTCCAACCGCTACTCAAACGAGTACCCGTTTCAATCAAATCGTCCTCTTCAATAGCAACACCTCCAGAAAGGTCAAGTCGAGGAACATTGTGGATCGCTATACTCTTTTTGTTGCGTAGAATATGCTCATTTAAACCACCCATCATGTTTGAGGGGGACACAACATTGTCGTCGCCATCTTCACCTTCTTCCGAGACAAGCATACTGTTGACACCCGAGTTCTCCCCCAAAAGAAACCGGACAAGGCAGCTTCGAGAGCCGAACCGGAGACCCAGTCTAGCGCGTAGGTGCCGAACTGGACTTTGAAACTTTTTGACCCTGACACCCCCGCGAGTCCGTCCGTTAGCCCGGCGTTTGCGACAGTTAAGTTCCGGTGCCGACCTGATAAGTGACGATCTGGAGGAAGGCACCCCGGAACCGGAGGAGCAAAAAGGAAACAGGAGCCGACTTGAGGTCTCAGAACGGATCTCCAATGAAGAATGCCGATCTCAATACAGTATAATAATGCCACTTGGAGAGTAATCATTGGTGATTGGACGGGGCATCCTAGCCTGCTGACCTACATCCTCTAGCAAAGACATAAAGTCTGCCAGCATTAAATGACCCCCATGAGTGCATTAAATGTCTGTCAGGCAATGATGAGAAAAACCTCAAATCGCATTGAATTCTGTCAGAGAGGCGCCGGACTGCTCTGCAAGAACACTGTCCGACAAGACCGGTGAACAGTACCTGAATAGTGCCACATTTAAGGCCACTATAAATAACAACCAACTTTATTTAATTTTGGGTTGTTGAATTCCCAACTTTCAGATTCTCTCTCTACTTTCTCTCTCTAGACTCGTGCAAAAGCTTTGTAAGAATTCGTAAGGAGATTGCAAGTGCCGACCTCGTACGAGAGGCCGACCTCGTGATTCATCAATATAATCGTAATTAAACTGCATTTCTTTGTCTTTTCCGCATTACCTTTTTATTATTCATCTTTTTA